ATAAAAGTTCCAGTGTATTTTTTTTTTTAAGATGATGAAATGAGCCTAAAGTTCATGTGCAGAAGTTAATAGATAAGAAAGATTTTGAAATTGAAGACATAATTGTGGAGTAATGGTGGTGATAAAAGATATTAAAATGTATTATAAAACTAAAATAATTAAAACAGCATGGTTTTATAATAAGGATTGGCAGACAAAATAATAAAATTGCCTGGAAGCATAATACAGCATCCATAGAAATTTAGTATTTCATTAAAGGTAGTATCATAAATAAGTAGTGACTCTGAGGGATATTCAATAAATGGGGCAAAAAGTACCATTAACTCTTTGGAAAACCAATAACAAAAAGCAGAAAGCAAATCCCATTTCAAAAACCTAGTCGGAGATAAAATTAGAAGGAAAGATGTATGGTGCCATCTAGTGGTTAAACAGGTAACTGCATACGTATTTCTTAACGTATCATCTACTGCCAGAAATTTAAAATGGATGGAGAATTGAGGGAGGTAAATTATTTATTAACAAAAAGATTTCTACCTCACACTCCACAAATTTAAGGAAAGTTTTGTTAATACTGACAAGGTGATTTTACTGTTTAAATGGTAGCCTATATAGGATCCTAAGTTAACATGTAAGAAATTATGGTTGCAGACATTCGCATAAACAGGCATGCCAACCTGTCATACTTTTTTTTAGTAACACGATGAAACAAAAGAACTACTTGAGAAAAGCATGCTGATTGGAAATTCATATATGAGAGTGGAACCTGCCAGTAGTTATAGTTTTGAATAAGAACACATTCCCAGAAACCTGTTCTCTGGATTGTGGAGCCTGATGGAGGTCCAGAGCTTGCTCTGGGCTTGTGACTAGTGTGGCTGTGTCGTTCCTGGGCTGAATGGAGGCTTCCACTCTCCTCATTGACCCCAGGCACAAGCTCCATATATGCAACCATCTCCATCTTGGCTCTACCTCTGGGCTCTCCATCAACCCAGCTAAACTGCAGCAAGGACACGTGGGCAAATCTGCAAAACAGCCCTTCTATTTTTGAGAACAACCCCTCTTTCCCCATCAAAGTGGCTGCAGCACAGCTGCCCCATAGTCATGGAACTCTGCTCCCTAGCACAGCTCTTTGGTCAAGAGATGAGCTCCTAGAATACAGCTGGGCCTAGAAGTCCCCTCCATTGGTGTTTTGGATTTAGAAATGAGAGAACTGGACCAGTCTATCTCCGGGTTGTCAAGACTGAGAGTTTAAATATCAGGAGCTTTTGGTGACCATTAATGGAACTAGAGAAACGAAAAGAGCAAGTGGAAGGAATGAAGCTCGAAGGAGCAGCAGTGGGAGGTGAATTGAGCGCCACATTGCTCCCATGCCTGGCTCTGTAGCTTCCTGCAAGTATCTTTGCTCTTTGCTCGGCTTGGATGTACAGTTCCTCCCTGCATTCCTTATATTCCCAGCATCCTTCTGATAAACTCTTCCTTTTGATGAAACAAATGTAAATATTTTTCTGTCCCTTGAATTCAGAATTGTATTATATCTTTTAAAATAACAAACCTGATCTCCATCTTTCAATGTCTGCTCATACCCTCACATCAAGTCCAAATGTTTTAGCATGGCCTCTGAGGCCTCTGCGGCTCTCGCCAGCCTCATTGCTGACTTCCCTTTACTCTCTCCTTCTTCCCACTCTCCTTTTGCCCACCTTCTCCACCCTCCAAGTTCCAGCTATACACGAAGACTCTCATTTCCCGTACCATGGCATTCTACCAGCCTCTCGGCCGGGCTGTTTTCTGTCCGTGAAATACTCTCCCTTCACCCTCCCCCAGCAGTTCCCATTCATCCTCCAGATACCAGCTTAGACCTCAATTCCTCCAGGAATCCTCTTTGGTCCCCAAAAACTTAGTTGGTTGCTCCTCCTATGTTAGCACCATGTCCCTAACCCCATTACAGCTTTTATCGCTCTACATCAAGATGACCTGTTTCAGAAACCTACTCATAGATACCTGAAACAAACTGGTGGGTATCAGAGAGGGGAAAGAATTGGGGGCAAAATAGGTGAAAGGGATTAAGAGGTACAAATTTCTGCTTATAAAGTTAATAATTCACAGGGATGCAAAGTATAGCATAGGAAATATCAATAATATCATAATAACTTTGTATGGTGACAGATGGCAACGACTTATCATGGTGATCATTTCACAATGTATATAAATATTGAATCACTATGATGCACACCCGAAACTAATAAGATACTGTGTCAATTATACTTCAATTAAAAAAAATGGCCTATTTATTTGTTTGTCTCTCCTGGAAGACTCGAAGCACCATAAAGCAAGGACAGTCTGCCTCACCGTTGCATCCCCGTGTTTTGTGCAGAACCTAGAATACAGTCAGCTCTCAAATATTCGTTCGATGAACAAAGGCATATACACAGAGAACTATATCTGTTACCTAAGTGAGAAACACGAAAGTCCAAGTGAGCTGTGAATCTCTTCAGAGCAAAGTGTCCAGTCAGCCTCCTTTCTGCTTAGACAAGGGTCTGTAAATTTCTGCGAACATTTTTGAGAGCTATTGCCTCCGATTCCAAAACCAGACAAATATTTCTAACATACGCAACTTTCTCTTTTGCTAAATCAAAGCTAAATGCACATGAATCAATGTAAGGATTATCTGTATTTTGTGGACATGGGTGGTCCAGACACCCATGAGGAGATAAATAAATGTTTGAGGTGGGTCCTTCAATGATTTTTACAACTGATGCCAATTTGGCAAGCTTGACCGGGCCCTACCAGTGTGAGGAACCATGATTTTGGTATGATGTTGGGGAATTTGTGGCTTCCATCTGCTGGTTATCTCACAAAATGTGGAGCTGAGAAAAAAATCACATACTGATTAAATCATAGAATCCCACACTTGGAAGGGACGTCATGAGATGATCTGGGCCCGCCTCCTGAAGGTCAATGCATAAATCATCTTGTGCAGATGGCTGTTTATACTATTTTTAAAGCTCTTTAAGGATAGAGATTACACAGCTTCCCTTGGTAGTCTGATCTTCATGGTCAAGAACTTCCTTTTTTAAAAGCTCAGCTTCTCGCTGCAGGTTGGCCCTTTTCCTCTTTTTTTCAGCTTTCTGGGAATATAGAGAGTACACGATCAACCTTTCCTGCTAATTAACTTTGGCCCACACTCCATACTCTTGCAATTAATTATTAAGATTTATGCTACCCTCAAGCTACACAGTTGCAATTCCTTTATTTTTCAAAAGACTTATTTTTTTCCCTCTACAATGATTTTTGTAATTATTTTTTTTTCCTTAGAGTCTATTCTGTAGCTCACTCTATAAGACTGGTAGTAGTATTTCTGCTCAAGTCCTAATCAGCTGTAAACAAACAGCAAAATTTTCTTCTTATCTTATCCCAGTATCATATCTGCTGTTTAAATTACAGCGCTTCATTTTTGTTTCTGGCATAGATTATGTTCCACGATAAATCTCAAGCCTTTTACTGTCAAACTGCTACTTTCCACATGTCATGTCTGGCTAATTTGTCTTGGGGCCTTGTAGTAGGCTAAAAAATGGCCCCCCAAAGATGTCCACATCCTGATCCTCAAAACCTGCAAATATATTACCTTATATGGAAAAGGAGGCTTTGCAGATACCATTAAAATAAAGATTTTGAGATGGGGAGATGATCCTGGATTATCCAGGTGAACCCAATGTAATCACAAAGGCCCTTATAAGGGAGAGATAGGAAGGCAGGGTCAGAGAGAAAAGTGACAAGATGATGGGAGCAGAGATTGGAGCGATACACTTTGAAGATAGAGGAAGAGGCCATAAGTCCCCTTATCCATAAGGGATGCAGGAAGCCTCTAAGAAGTTGGACATGGCAAGGGAATGGATTCTTTCCTAGAGCCCCTGTGGAGACATGTATTTCTCCTACTGAAACCCATTTTGGGCTTCTTATCTGCAGGTAATAAATTTGCGTTGTTTTAAGCACCTAAGTTTGTGGTAATTTGTTACAGCAGCAATAAGAAACGAATATAACTTTATTCATGAAAATATCCGTGCTTGTCTTGAACTTCATGGTTTTATTGAACAGAAAATTTTTGGATTTATAAAGGTTTCATAGTATTATATTCCCATCCTCCAAAGCCACAAGAAAACTGGTGGGTGTTTCCTAGATTGTTGATAACCTTAACTTCTTATCAATTGTTTTAAAATAATTTAGGTAATAGAGGGTTCCACTTCTTGAAGGGCTTCTATGTGCTAGGTACTGCACCGTGAGCTTGCAATGTGCTATTTCAGTTTAATGTCACCACAAAACCATGGGGTAGGGACTGGGGTTTGGAGAAGTAAAGCAGTATGGCCAGGTGCTGGCAGAGCTGACGTTCAAGCCCCTGTCTGCCTAGTTTTAAAGCCCATCTTCTCTGTCCCCTACCACATTAACCTGCCTCTGCTCAATGCTCCACTTCTCTAGCTGGGGTGTAAAATTGTGAAGAATCTGAAGCACCACAAATTTTCAAGGAAGATGTGTTACTATAAATGTAACTTTCTTGGGGAAAAAAACCAGCTAGTTTCCTAGAAATACTATGTATTTGTTCCAGATGTCAGATGGAAATGATTTCAAACATCAAAGTTGAAATTACAATTGTTGGAAAAGTGAGAGGGATCACTCAAAAACATTGGGGGAAAAGCAAGAACTCTCTCGTCTTGGCAGGAACCTGTAATTTCCCTGGGAAAATATCATTTCTAAAGAGCAAAACTTCAGAATTAGTTTCCAGCAAAGTTATGGTTTAAACTCATATTCTGCCCTATGAAAGTTTCTGAAATTTTGTCGTTCTTCAGGCGGTTTTTGTTACCTAGGTAATTCGACACGTTAGGTAAGGTAGATGCTGTTTTATCTCTGCGTCCTCTTCCTTTTCTCAGTTCTCTCTGTTTAAAAGAGAAGAGAGTACAGTTTCATTTTAATACCAGTTTTTCCCAATTCTACTTTCCATGTGGTCTGCCCAGGCTGGGAGGAGATAGAAATGTGTTCTCAAGTCATCTCATCTTCACAAACCCACCAACAAATATTCAACCAACCAACAGCCACCCATTGGTTCTACTCATCAAGCTTCTCTCTCCCCCTTTTTCATCTGAACAATCAGTAAGTTTTCTCAATTTTATATAAAACATTATGCAAATACAGTGTCAAGTCCCGCCCCTCTTCCAACCATACTGTTCCTATGTCCTTCTTATATGTAAACCTTACAGCAGTCCCTACTCCTTTCCTCTCAGGCAAAACTTGAAAGACCACAGTGGTCTACGCTTATCTGTTCCCCTCATTCTCTTGTCTCTTCTTAATTCACTATAATTTGATCTGCTTCATCATTCCTGTGTGGGACAAGTTTATTGTGTTCTTATGGGGTAGGGGTGGGTGTAGAAGCCAACTGGATATCTTTTATATATCCCAAAATAAACCTACTGTTTTCCCTCCAGCCTCTAAAACCTGCTGCTCATCCAGTATTTACTCTTCAGTGAATGATACCATCTAGATGCCGAACCAGAAATCGAGGATGCAATCTCCATATCGCCTTCCCCATCTATGCCACTCCCTTAATATTTTGCCCACCTCTTTCTTTCTTCTCACTCCCAGTTTTTCCATTCAGGTATTCATCATTTTTTAACTGAATTACTGAAATACTCTCCATGTTGCTGCTTGCCTCCATTCTTTAAAGTTGTCTTATGAGATTAATAGTTCACTCCAGGTAAAAAAAAAAGAGAAAGAAGAAAAGAAAGGGAACTGCTTAGGTGGAGGAGACACAGATATCTGTGGCCAAAGCAAAAGACGTCCAGAGCAGTAAGATGGCCAAAGGAAGAAATTAAGAAAACGACGAGAAATTGAAATTACACAGAAGACAGGAGCTAAAATGTGAGGGTCACAGTGACTGCTCTAAGATACATGTTGACTAGTGTGCTCTAAACATTCCCCATCTCCCAGAATATTATGGTATAATTGAGCATGGCTAGATGAAATATAGTCTGTGTAAGCATATCCTATGCAATGAGAGTTGTTGAAGTAATGAGAGGAGCTGAGTTTACAGAAGTGTAACCAGAATTGCCAGCCATGGCGACAAAATAACGCTTTATTATTATTACTATTATTATTCATTATTAACATTATTTTGTGTTCATGAATATTTTATTGGGAAGCTGGAAAACAATAACCTCTCCTCATTCTCTTTTCTTATCTTCATTTCATTTATAATTTATTATGACAAATTTAGGACATTCTAAAAGATATGAAGAATAATTAAATGTACACCCATATACTCACCACCAATCTTAAAATAGAAAATTCCAAATACCATAACAATAGAAACACTGTGGTTGGTCTTCCCTTCTCCTCCTGACTCCCAAGCAGAGGTAATCCGTTATTCTTGTATTGATATTCTTTCATTCCCTTGTATATTTACTTTTAACCCCCGAATTACAATGGCTCTCTCAGTCTCCTAAGGTAGTGTCTCAGCTACACTACCCAATTGTTGATGAGAAAAACTGATGACTAATCCTTGATTCATCATTTTTCTCATCTTGTGGAATGATGATGTGGGCTCACATACTGGGGAGAGGCGATTGTGCACATTTCTTCCCAAATCCATGTTCAAATCCATGTGAGAGATTGGCCATGGGGGGATAGTCACCCATGAACATTGGCAATAACTACAAATCAAGGGTCTTCCCCTCATCCCCCCAGAGAATGGGTGTTAAATATTTACCAACACACTGCTGTTCATCTCCCATATCCAGTTAGTTCTGTTAGTCCTCCCTCCAGATTACATTTCAGATCTGCCGATTGATCTCAGATCCAATATGTATATTGCTGTTATCACTCCACCCAAATTAGCAATTATTCTTTTATGTTATTTAACACCCTAAGTATTTTCAAATTTTCCCAATTTTATCAATATGTCTTTCTATTGTTTGATTCAGGATCCAAATGAGGTCTACCATTGCCTATGTCTTTACTGTATCTCTTTTATTCTATTATAGATCTCTTCCTTTTTTTTTTAATAACAATTATCTGATAGAGAAAAGGAATAATTTGGCCTATAGAATGTTTCACACTTTGCATTTGGTTCACAGCTTCCCCATATTTCTTATTAACTAGTATTTAGAGTAAGTGGTTTCATGGATTCAGGCTCAATTTTTAGTCAAGACTAGTTCAGGGTGGAACTTTCTACTGCATCACATCTCAAGTAGAGGGTTCAGATGTTGTCAGCTAACCCATGCATTACACAATTCCTCACCAAATTTTCACCTCATGGTTTTAGTATCTTTTGATGATGATTATTGTCTGGATCTGTTATTTTATTAAAGACTGCAAAACGGTAATTTTTCTAACTCTATAATTTATTTTTTTATTATTTAACTGAAATTCTATAAAAAATGTTTTCTCTCACCAACCATTTAGTTACTCTAAAGAACAATCTGTGCAGAAAAAGTATAACAAATGCTTGCTTCTTTCTTTATATTTATCATTTTCTTGGAGTAATGAGTTGATTCCCAGCAATTTTCAATGATAATGAATATTTAAAAAAATGTTTTACATAGAAAAATATTTAAACCTACGAAACAGTTGAAAGAATAGTGCAATGAACACTCATATACTCTTCACACTGTTGGTAGTACTTTGTCACATTTGTATCCCCTCTTCGATCAGCCATTGAACATTTCCTTGCTTTCCAGCACAAGATGTTCCAAGCACACCTTATACTTTACACACCTCAGGGAAATCAAGCATTTCTGCAAGGAGCTCTTGATTTTTTACTGGGAAATGGTATTTAAAAACTCATGTGTGCGTGCTTGCATGTGTGCATCCCTGCGTGTGTGTGTGTGTTTGTCTGTGTGATGTGCGCTGTGACCTTGTTAAATTAACTTTTGTTAAGTAAGGCCCTGGCGTGTGGGCTGGTAAACCAAGTTTCAACAAAAGACCACAAGAAAAAGTGAAATAGAGTTTATTACTCACACGTCCTGAAGGAGGCACATGGCATGCCTCAAGGGACCACACAGGGAAGTCAAGGCAGGGTGCAGGCAGAGAGAGAGAGAGTGCTGGAAGACCTGGGGCACATGCCTTTATTAGGAATTGAGGGTCAGGTGCTTTGGGATTCATGGGCTAAGGCCAGATTCGTCAATTCAAACCAAAAAAGTGGGGTTTTGGTAAGCTTCGTTGGGGTCTTATCTAAGAGGTGCTCAAGGGGAAGGCCTGGGAGGCGGGGAGAATGCTTATCGCAAGGGCAGTTGCGGGAGTCATCTTGGGGACTTAGGTTTACTTGTTACTCTGTTGACTGTTATCTAAGGCATGCACTGCAGGGAAAGGGGCTGGTGTATTACAGAATACTTTAGCTAGACTCTCTCCATGTATACGTATAGATACACTTATGTATGTCTATATGTATATAACAAACACACATATATAATTCATGTATCTGTATATACACAAACACACATATGTTCATGCACACATATATGTACTAATATCTCCAATTCAAATCCACATAGTTCTTCCTCCCTTTCCTACTCCATATTTGTTTCTCCCTTCTCATGCAGTGAGAACCTGATTCCTAACAGTTTCAGAATTATTACACTAATAACACTACTGAAAACAAATCTGTCTTTATGAACTGAGACTCATTCTTCCTTTTTTTTTTGAATGGCTATACAATTCCCCGTTTTGTGGACGTGTCTTGATTCATTCACCCAGTTTCCTATGGGGGAGTATTCAGGTTGTTTCTGATTTTTTTTTACAATGAATAACCTTGTACATATGTAGCTTTTTAAATTGTTGAGTGTGTATCTTCAGGGTAAATTTTTACAACTTGGGCTGTTGAGTCAAAGGGCGAATGCATGTGTTTTTGGTATACTCTCAAATTCTCCTCCACAAGGGGTAATAACATTTTGCATGCTCATCTGCAGTGTTTGGAAGACTCTGTGTACCCACATCCTTGCCAACAGAATATATTGTCAAGCTTTGGAATTAGAAAAAATATCTCAGTATAGTTTTATTCATATAGGTTTTGCATATTTAAATTGATTTATTAAGGCATAATTTATACACAGTGAAATACACAGATCTTAAGTGTACATCTTGATTACTTTTGATAATGTACACATTCATGGAACCCACATCTCAATCAAGAAATAGAACATTTCCATCATTTCAGAAAGTTTTCTTGTACCCTTTTCTACTCAAATTCCACGCCTTCCTCCCATAGAGGCAACCACTAAGCTATTGTACCACCGTTGCTCAGTTTATACTGTTCCTAAACTTCTTAAAAAAAGAAGCTTGTAGTATGTTCTATTTTGTGTCTGGCTTCTTTTGTGCAACCTGCTATTTATGAGATTTATTCATGTTGCTGAATGTATTAATAATTTGTCCTTTTTATTGCTGTGTTATATTTCATTTTATGAATATACCAGGTTTTTTGTTCATTCTTCTGTTGGTGGACATTTGGGTTATTTACAATCTTTTGGCTATTATGAAAGCCACTAAGAACATTCTTGTTCAAATCATATATATACATATACACATATTTTTTGTTATTGTTGAGGAAGATTTGCCCTGAGCTAACATCTGTTGCCAATTTTCCTCTTTTTTTATGTGAGCTGCTGCCACAGCATGGCCACTGACAGACGAGTGGTGTGGTTCTGTGCCTGAGAACCAAACCCAGACCGCTGAAGTGGAGTGTAACAAACTTTAACCACTAGGCCATCGGAGCTGGCCCCATACATTTTTTCAATGACTGTGTAGTTTTTGATATTGTTGACATAACTTGATTCATTCAACCAGTATCTTATGGATAAATATATGGGTATTTACGTTGTTTATAAAATCTATTTCTTTCGGTTACTATATACCAAGTAGGTGTATGTTTAACTTTATAACAAATGGTCAAACAGTTTTCCAAGTGGCTATCCCATTTTATACTACCACCAGATATGTATGTGACTTCCAATTGTTCCACAACTTTGCTACAATTTAGTCTGCTGGCTTTTTCAAATTTGATATAAATATATAATGCATTAATTCCATTTTATTGAATTTTGTATGAGGAATGGCTGTTGATTTTTGTCCAAGGCCTGTGCAGTGTGGGTGGGGTTAATGATGAGATTTTTTTTTTTAGATCTCTTAATATGGTATATTATAAGAAAGATTTCCTAATATTGAACTACCCTTGACAATTTTGGAATATATTACATTTAGTCACAGTGTATCAATATTTTTAATGTGCTATTGAATTCTATTTGCTGATAGTTTTTAGGATTTTAAAATCAATGTTTATGAGGGAAATTCGTCCATAATTTTCTTTTTCCCCTTTGTCTTTATCAAGTTTAGGTGTCAATGTTATACTCACTTTATAAAAAATAATTAAGGCATTCTACTTTTTTCCCTTTAATCTCTGGAATAATTTATGAAGCATTATAATTACCCACTCTTTGAAAGTTTGATGGAAATTCCACACAAAACCATCTGGACCTGGTGCCTTTTTACGAGATAGTTCTTTGACATTATTCTCCATTTCTTCTACGGAAATTGCTTTATTTAAGCTTCTTTATCCCTACTGTGTCAATTTTTTTAAAATTACATTTTCTTTAAAATTTTTTCTTTAAAATTTTATGCATCTCTTCTAGATTTTTAAATATAGTCACACATTACTTATTGACAGGGACACATTCTGAGAAATGCATCATTAGGTAATTTTGTCATTGTGTGAACATCATAGAATCTACTTTCACAAACCTAGATGGTGTAGCCTACTACACACCTAGGCTATATGGTACTAATCTTATAGGATCACCATTGTATACATGGTCCATCATTGACCACAAACGTTGTTATGTGGCACGCGACTGTATATTTGTTCATTATTTTCAGTAGTTTCGTATTTGTTTTAATTTCATCTGTTTCAATGATTGCTTCCAAACTCATTTTATTTTGTATATTGTTGTTTCCTTTTATGCCTTGCTTAGGTTGACTAGTGGTTTTCTATTTTGTTATTTCTTTTCATGGAATCATAATTTTGATTATTATTCTTGTGTTTTGTTTTGCTTTCTACTCAATTTCTTACTGTTTTTAACTTTATTATTTTCTTTTGAGAGTTTTAAAAATTATTAATGGGTCT